CTTAATATATTCTAATTTCATATGTACACTCAGACATTCAGAGAACTTTCTTTAATTGGTGTATGGTAGTAGGCAAAAGAAAAGAATAGGAGATACTTCTGAAATTCAGGCCAGTCATGATAAAAGATTGAACTAGGGAAATATTTTGTACATTTATAGATTCCTTTCCTTTTTGTTAAAAAATTCATTGTTGTTTGTTTCCTGCTTTTGTTTTGTTTTGTTTTTGTTTTTTTGATACAGGGTTTCTCTGTGTAGCTTTGAGCCTTTCCTGGAACTCGCTTTGGAGACCAGGCTGGCCTGGAACTCACAGAGATCTGCCTGCCTGTGCCTCCTGAATGCTGGGATTAAAGGCATGTGCCACCACTGCCCGGCTGTTTCCTGGTTTTGATAATTCAGATTTTATTTTATTTATTTATTTTTTTAGATTTATTTATTTATTATGTATACAGAAGAGGGTGCCAGATCTCATTACAGATGGTTGTAAGCCACCATGTGGGTGCTGGGAATTGAACTCAGGACCTCTGGAAGAGCAGTTGGTGCTCTTAACCTCTGAGCCATCTCTCCAGCCCGATAATTCAGATTTTAAATCTTACAAGTTAGTATGCTTTACAAAGTGCCACAGCAAAAGTTGGATTACTATAACCATAATGACTTCTTATGCTTCTTAATGTGATCTATTAAAAATAATAAATGGCATTGTAACATATTTAGTTAAAATAATTCATTGTTGGCTGGGCAGTGATGGTGAACACCTTTAACCCCAGCATTTGGGAGGCAGAGGTAGGCAGATCTATGTGAGTTTGAGGCCAGTCTGGTCTACAGAGCGAGTTACAGGACAGCCAGGGCTACAAGGAGAAACCCTGTCTCAAAAATAATAATAATAATAATAATAAATAAAAACAAAAACAAATTGTTCGGTATGGTGATGCATACCTTTAATCCCAGCATTCAGGAGATAGGGCAGATGATCTCTGAGTTTGAGGCTAGCCAAAGTTATCTAGTTAGACTGTGTCTCAAAAACAACAAAACAAAACAAATAACAACAGAAAAAAAAAAACCAGAAAAAAATCAACTCATGACTTATAGGATATTCTTCAAAGAGGGACACACACAATTTATATTTTTAAAGTAAACTGTCAATTTTGAAAGAAGTTACCTCTGTAGTTACTTGACCAAGATTAAGACAGGACTGACTAAGAATTATGATTAGGCATTTAGCAATTTTAGCTACTTCTTAAAGGCTTAGACTGGGTTTGGGAAGGTTGGGGGAGGTAAGGGTTGATTGTATTTTTTTTAAAGGTGACTTAATTGTCTGAAGAAGACCAGTGTAATATCTTGAATATAGTATGTACTCTATAGATAATTAGTTAAATATGTTTAACTCACAAGTATCCTTATTATTGCACTTAACATGATGTGCCTCTTCAAGTGAACAAAAATTCCCTGAAAGTAGATACCTAGTATGTTCTTGGGATTTAATGTACTTTCTGATATTATTGTTGTTTAGTTGAGTCAGTCTCTCTCTCTCTCTCTCTCTCTCTCTCTCTCTCTCTCTCTCTCTCTCTCTCTC